TTATTATACGAACCGTTTCACGACAAGCTATCCGAAGAGTCGGGTTTTGACGGAAGTCCTTGGCAGCTTCCTGCATGACGACCGTCACGTGATTTCGGCATTGCTGCGTCAACGTTTCGGGATGTTGAGCCATTTGATCTTTGAGGCATTGGATCACGTGGCCTTGCAACAAGCTCGGGTGTCGGCTCTATATAGAAACGAACCTCATCAATCACGATTTATCAATGCCCGCATTACCCACTTATCTTGGAGTCCGGGTTCACCATCCTCATTCTCGTCAAAATTCGTAGATTAGGGAGGAAACGAAAGGAAAAAATACACAATGTGAGGAAACGGAAGGCATTTCAATTCGAAACCTTGAAGCATCATGTTCCAGAGGAAGGTAGACGAAAATTGATGACTAGAATGACAAAGCAAACGTTTCCATTGGACCAAATGTGACATCTATCAACATTTTCGACTTAATGACATTTTACTTGCCCGCAGAGGATATTAATTAAAAATTAAGAACAGTCAAACCTCTGTAAGTCGAATTTCAAGGGACCAGAAAAAAAGTTGAGTCAGAAAAGGTCTGGAGTTGGGGGAACAAGCATTTGTGTTGGCGGATTCAAAGAAGAAGTACAGAAAATGGTAATCCCTGATATTCTGGGTCTTGAATTGCTTCATAAATGAGTCGACAGGATGTTGAACTTGGAGGCAAGGGTTGATTTGCCCAAGTCTTCCATTCTCTTTCGAAAGACATCAATTTACATTTTAATTGCTTTTCTCTTTCTTGCGTCCATTAAATAATAGCAAAAAAGGCCTCCTGAAAAGTCCAGATATGGAGATTTGAGTGGGGAAAGCCTTCAAGCTACGGAGGTTTTTAATGCAACGTTTTTAAGGGAATTCAGACTTGACAAAAATTCAACTTCGGGAGGTATGAGCTATCGAGGTTCAACTTTATGTATAAGCATTCATAAAGTTTTTCAGAATCTGGAACTCATCGAAACCCTCTTCAAGAAAAAACGTGAAACTCAAACTTGAACAATGCTACAGTGAAGTTCTACTCACCCACTGCTCAGCTGATAGAGCTGAAGTCCTCTATTCGAAACAAAATTTATCTTTTGTTTACTTCGATGAAAAAATCATGGTTGAATTACGAAAGTGGTACCCAAAAAACGTCTTTTTTCTTTCAGCATCATGTTTACAGCATTTAAAAAAAGCTGTTTTCCAACCGAGGAAGGATTTTGGGATTCATTTCGAAGAAACCGAGGATAAGAAAACATTATAAGCAAATGCATCCACAATTCTACGCGAAATGTTTCCGAGATATTGCATCTAAAGTTCAGACAGAATATTGTCATCAAATTTTATTTACATGGATGTCCTTTAATTTCCTGGAGCTCACAGATGCTCCAAGTGAATACGAATTAGAGCAGGACTGAATTCCCAGATACATGTTCCGTTAATGGAGGGCACATCGGGGGAATTAATTGCTCGCATGTGTGATGGGTGCTAAAGGGGAAAAAAGAATAATTTAGAAGTTCGGAAGCGTTCGCTACTCACACTGTGTTGGTCCATGAGCCTGGAGCAGAATTTCTTCACGTCATCATTACACGCCTTATGGAGGTCCGGGTTGAGTCGGTAATCGTAATTGTGCTCCATCATCCTCGTCTCTATCACCTCCTGGCATCGTTGGTCAAACTCGGGCTCGTCTTTGTACACCTGCAGAGGACAGGAATCGGGCGGCGGTCAGTTACCCGGTCCGTAGAATAAACGCGACCCGTCTAATTATCGGGAGGCGGATTGAACCTCCCGTGGGCTGGGAATATTCATTCCACTCGCCTTGAGGCAATCCAGTAGCTCATCTTCCGGACACTTGTATCGGTTTATCATCCCGTGACACACGTTCACCAACGTGTAATCAACCTTTTCCTCTCGAGCCGCAATGATGTCTTCTTGGAAAATAGCATCCTTGCACGGCTTGCTCAATGAGTCAAAATTTTGGCGTAAGCACTCCAACATCTGCACGCGCGGAAAGAAAATTGGAAAATAATGCAGACCTGAAGTTCATCTCGGAACCAGCATACACGAGTCAGTCGTAATTTTTTGAATGCAACTTACATAGTATTGATGAAACGTGGGATTCTCTTTGCCCTAATGTTTTGTGAAGGTTAGCAAATAAATTGTTTCTTTCTTGAACCTTTAAAGTTATGTACGCAGCAAAAAAGCTGGAAATAATTTATCCCTGAACTTACGCTCAATTTCACCATTTGGCTTTCAGTCAGAATTCTCAGCAAGAACGTATACACCAATGACAAGAAATCTATTCGTCTTGAATTCTATGAAAAAAAAGCAAGCCAAAGTTTCATTTTGAATGAGGGAAAATGACCTCTGACTTGAAAAGGGTACAGATTACATAATATTTGAAAAGTCGTAGGCTAGAGTAGATGTGTTATTTGTAAGTGATTCACCTCCGAAACTTCTCTCAAAATAACTTTTATGCATGAATGAAGAGAACAAACAAAAATAAATAAAATCGATTTTCCATCGTGAAAATGTTGCCTATTCCAAATTTTTTCATGCTGATTTCAAGCACTTTCGATTTGCATTGATTATCTTTCATTTTCTGGCAACCTTGTTTTTGGAAGCTTTATTATGGATCACGCCCAACTGATCGAGAACCTCGCTGAATTTCTCATAAGAATATTGCTAATATACTGTATACGCTTTTCCCCACCAGAATACGATCATTCAAGTTTGCATCAACTTGTACTGAATTTGATGTTCGGTAAATTTTGCAGCAGGAGCTGGTGTCAATTAGATGTTTAAATGCAAATCGATGATACTCATGTACAGTATATAACTTCGACCAGTACGTACAGCAAGCTTGAAAAATTTCTAAAATGTGTATAAAAATAATTAATTACCTTGCCGAATCCGTGTTCGGTTACTGAGGAACACTTGGACGCCATGTCGATCTCGCAGGCGCTTTTGAGATCAGGATTCAAGTCGATATCCTCTTCTTGCTGGTAAAGCTGCACCAAAAGCTCGTCGTGGCATTTTTGAGATAAATGGTCAGATTCACCGTCTTCCAGAGCTTCTTCTAGCATAACTTCGCTCAAGCAGTTTATCACATCGTCTCTGAAATATTTTTGAATCGAGAGGTCTTATTGTGTTTGCACAGAAACAGCAGGATGAAGGGTAGCTTTTAAACGAAGATTGAATACTGTACTGTATTACAGATATATAGTGTACTGTAATATAATAACAAGAAAATGTATTCCAAAGGCTTGACGACATGTCTACACATCTGCAAATAATCATTGAAAAAAAAACTGTGGAGGATGATTACAATAATTTCTACAACGAGTATGACTTGATTTGTACAATACAGTATTCGCCAAATTAACTTGAACATCTCCGAAGCACAGCAATTAATAATTCCATTAGAATTGAATTTGCCAAGGCAAGATTTCAACTGGATCTTTCTTGCATAGTGTTAGACTTTTCAACAAATAATGAATCGATATACTGTATAGTAATTGGATATAAAATAATGAACAAATTACGTCAGGGGGTTATGGAGATTTTGGGAAATCCACTCATTCAGCCCGATGTCTCAGAAACTTCGAAAATGCGAGAGTGAATGTGAAGTGCATGCTGTGAGGAAATTTTTAAATTATGGCAAACTATTGTGTTTTCAGTTTCAGGTAAAGTCACACGAAATATCCAAGATGCGTCTTTACGCAAACACCCTCAGCATATTTTGGAAAAGGCGCAATTGAGGAGACAGATTGAAAGACCTACTGTATATCTAAAAGTAATAATGTTATAATTAGTTAGGCGGGGGTGAAATGAGGATAAAATCGCGCAAGTTTAGAACTGTAGTACAGCATAAAATATCCAGACCTTTCGACAGCATCGTTCGCAAATTTTGAATAACCTTGAAATAAGCAACTAATCTAGCAGACAAATCTCCGAGAGCATCTTCAATACAGATTTCCGATATTGTTCCGGAGATTAGCAATGAAGAAGAAAATCGACCTCGGGCCCAGTAGCTGGGATCGTACCGTTTAGCGTTGGTCGGGTCATTGATCCGACAGTATTTCCGCACGTCCTCGAGACACGATTCGCGGAAATTCTTGGAGAACTGCATGCTTTTCATAGTGATGAGCTGGAAATGTGTGATTGCGGCCGCACACTTCGGCTTTTGGTTCATCATTGGCTTGCTGCGGATCAAGCATTCAAGCAAGTCTTCGTCGTGGGCACTTTTCACAAGGTATTCCTGAATCAAAGAGCAGGACTGGGGTTACGCCGAAGATTAGCTCGGAGGATTAGAAAGTCTAATTACCGAGCAGTACTCTTCAGCAGCGACTTTGCAGTGCTCCATTATATACGGATTCAATTCAACGTGGTCCTCCTCGTCCTCAATGATCTGCTTCACCTTCTCCTTGCAGTTCACTTCCAGTCTAAAATGAGACAAAAATCAGTCAACATGCGACAAAATTGTGTAAAGAGTTTTTCCAATCCCGTGATCACAAGAAGACAACGCGCAAATGGTAAATATAGTCCCATAGGATTGAAATTACTTCAGTTCTTGCAAATTAGCAAGCCAATGAAACAACACCGCGCGAAGCGAATTTCAGGCACCATAAAAACATACGTCTTGAATATATATGCAGGATTAGAAAAAGAAGGAAACGTCTGCAGGTGAATCAAAGACGCTCTATATCACTTACATCACAAACTTCCAGAGAGTCTCTTGGATAGCAATAAATGTGCTGATTTTCATGCCAATATTAGCAAATAAAGACGAGACTCTCATAAAAAAGTCAAATTTCGCTTTTGTTATCATGCTCAAGTTTGAAAAAACAACCCAGAGAAACCCACTTTGAGATTTCTCTTCAGATTTACGAAAATAATTCAGTTTATTGTTCGATATATTCTTAAATCATGCATCACATCCGCAGTTTCAGGAAAATGGCATTTAAGAAATGTTGCTAATTTGAATGCTTCAAAATTCTGGAACATGAATAGCTCGTAGAAAAGATCCGTGCATACATGCTATCAAAATGTTAATATTAATTTAGAATCTAAGAAAACATTAATTCTACGACGCTCCCCGCAATTTTTCTTCAATGGAAATCGGAAGAAATGCGTTAGACATGAGATAAAAAAAAGGTTTCATTAAATTACTTCTCGAGGTTGTCTTCTAGGCAAAGGATCTCTTCCCCAGCCTCGGTATTGGAGGAGCAATGCAAAGCCAGATCCGGTAAACAGTAATCTTCAACTTCCGGGTGCAAGT